ATTCACCTGTGAAGAACATCAACAGTTTGTGATTCACCTGTGAAGAACATCCACAGTTAGTGATTCATCTGTGAAGAACATCCACAGTTTGTGATCCACCTGTGAAGAACATCCACAGTTTGTGATTCACCTGTGAAGAACATCCACAGTTAGTGATTCATCTGTGAAGAACATCCACAGTTAGTGATTCACCTGTGAAGAACATCCACAGTTTGTGATTCACCTGTGAAGAACATCCACAGTTTGTGATTCACCTGTGAAGAACATCCACAGTTTGTGATTCACCTGTGAAGAACATCCACAGTTAGTGATTCACCTGTGAAGAACATCCACAGTTTGTGATTCACCTGTGAAGAACATCCACAGTTTTTGATTCACATGTGAAGAACATCCACAGTTTGTGATTCACCTGTGAAGAACATCCACAGTTTGTGATTCACCTGTGAAGAACATCCACAGTTAGTGATTCACCTGTGAAAAACATCCACAGTTTGTGATTCACCTGTGAAGAACATCCACTGTTTTTGATTCACCTGTGAAGAACATCCACTGTTTTTGATTCACCTGTGAAGAACATCCACAGTTTTTGATTCACCTGTGAAGAACATCCACAGTTTTTGATTCACCTGTGAAGAACATCCACAGTTAGTGATTCATCTGTGAAGAACATCCACAGTTTGTGATTCACCTGTGAAGAACATCCACAGTTTGTGATTTACCTGTGAAGAACATCCACAGTTTGTGATTCACCTGTGAAGAACATCCACAGTTTGTGATTCACCTGTGAAGAACATCCACAGTTTTTGATTCACCTGTGAAGAACATCCACAGTTTTTGATTCACCTGTGAAGAACATCCACAGTTTTTGATTCACCTGTGAAGAACATCCACAGTTTGTGATTCACATGTGAAGAACATCCACAGTTTGTGATTCACCTGTGAAGAACATCCACAGTTTTTTATTCACCTGTGAAGAACATCCACAGTTTTTGATTCACATGTGAAGAACATCCACAGTTTTTGATTCACCTGTGAAGAACATCCACAGTTTGTGATTCACCTGTGAAGAACATCCACAGTTAGTGATTCACCTGTGAAGAACATCCACAGTTTGTGATTCACCTGTGAAGAACATCCACAGTTAGTGATTCACCTGTGAAGAACATCCACAGTTTTTGATCCACCTGTGAAGAACATCCACAGTTTTTGATCCACCTGTGAAGAACATCCACAGTTTTTGATCCACCTGTGAAGAACATCCACAGTTTTTGATCCACCTGTGAAGAACATCCACAGTTTTTGATCCACCTGTGAAGAACATCCACAGTTTTTGATCCACCTATATGTTGAACATCGATAGTGTTTGATTCACATCCATGTAGAAAGTAGATGTGATTCGCCTGCAGGACATTCATAGTATGTGACCCACCTCTATACAACTTCTACTGTGTGTGATCCATCTATAAGAGAACGCCGACAGCATATGAACCCCTTACTTGTAGAACATCGATAATATGTGATCAATCTGTATGTAGAACGTTGATAGTTGTGATCAATCTGTATGTAGAATGTCGGCAATATGTGATCAATCTTTGTGTAGAACGTCGATAATATGTGATTAATCTATGTGTAGAACATCGATAATATGTGATCAATCTGTGTGTAGAACGTCGATAATATGTGATCAATCTCTATGTAGAACATCGACAATATATGATAAATCTCTGTGTAGAACATCGATAATATGTGATCAATCTGTGTGTAGAACGTCGATAATATGTGATCAATATGTGTGTAGAACATCGATAATATGTGATAAATCTCTATGTTTAGCATCGATAATATGTGATCTATCTCCTTGGAGAACATGGATAATACATAATCAATCTCTATGTAGAACATGGATGATATGGGATCAATCTATGTAGAACATCGATAGTGTGTAGAACATTGCTGTGTTGTGATTCACGTACGTGCAGAACATCGATATTGTTTGATTTGTCTCTATGTAGAGCCTCGTCCCTTTATGGCTGAGATATTCCCGGTGCAGTTCAACGTTAAACTGACTCACTCTCTGTGGAGCGATCCACCACTGGGTACTCTTTGCCAGTTGCTGCTTGCACTGCAAAAGAAATACACTGAAATCTGGATACCATGAGAGAATCTGGTGAATGTCGACTTATCTGTGGTTCGAGGGAACATGGTGTGCCGACATATGGACAGAGATGTGGACTGGCCGATCGGTAATAAATCGTTTTCACCGCAAGTTCGTGTTGACGAGGTATTTCTGTAGATTTAGTTTGCGAAGAGAGTGTTCAGAGCAGTTAACTGATCCAGCTCAAATATTTAGTTGGCTTGTCGGTTCCTGTTTTCTGAGTCTCTCACCTCTAGTTCACACAACCACAGGACGAACAGTCAGGGTGGTTACATAGCTACAACACAGCACTGAATACCCCTGGGTCCACTGTCAGGGTGGTTACATGGCTACAACACAGCACTGAATACCCCTGCGTCCACTGTCAGGGTGGTTACATAGCTACAACACAGCACTGAATACCCCTGCGTCCACTGTCAGGGTGGTTACATGGCTACAACACAGCACTGAATATCCCTGCGTCCACTGTCAGGGTGGTAACATGGCTACAACACAGCACTGAATACCCCTGCGTCCAGTGTCAAGGTGGTAACATGGCTACAACACAGCGCTGAATACCCCTGCGACCACTGTCAGGAAGGGTACATGGCTACAACACAGCACTGAATACCCCTACGTCCACTGTCAGGGTGGTTACATGGCTACAACACAGCACTGAATACCCCTGCGTCCAGTGTCAGGGTGGTTACATGGCTACAACACAGCACTGAATACCCCTGCGTCCAGTGTCAAGGTGGTTACATGGCTACAACACAGCACTGAATACCCCTGCGTCCACTGTCAGGGTAGTTACATGGCTACAACACAGCACTGAATACCCCTGCGTCAACTGTCAGAGTAGTTACATGGCTACAACACAGCACTGAATACCCCTGCGTCCACTGTCAGGGTGGTTACATGGCTACAACACAGCACTGAATACCCCTGCGTCCACTGTCAGGGTGGTTACATGGCTACAACACAGCACTGAATACCCCTGCGTCCACTGTCAGGGTGGTTACATGGCTACAACACAGCACTGAATACCCCTGCGTCCACTGTCAGTGTGGTTACATGGCTACAACACAGCAATGAATATCCCTGCGTCCACTGTCAAGGTGGTTACAAGGCTGCAACTAAAGGAAATATCTTCGTCGCCACTACGATTCGTTCTCATAACATTTTTCTCAAAGCTTTCACAAATAGTGTCGAACATATTGCAGCCTTGCAGCTTTTCGTTTTGTTGAATAGAACACATGTTGATATTAATACTAGTTTAATTGCGTACGCGTGGAAAGTTCAAGCTATTACAAGTTTTAGGAGTTTCCTTTGTGTTTACCTGAGAGTGGAAACTTGAAAACAAAGGGTCGGAATTCTCAATAGAGAAAGCTGAGAGGCTCATTAGCCTTATCTGCAAGTCGGCAGCTATGGTGAAATCACTGTGTGCCCTCGTTCTCCAGGCAATACTGAGAGTATCGCGAAAGAGGGGAACAAGATTTGAAATTTGGCCAAAGGGAGAAAACTCTATTTTTTGCACGCGTGTATTCTCTTATTGATCGAGGGGCTCATACAATATCGCATGAACGCTTCCGTCAGAAAAGTGCGAACATTATACCTTTCGTTTGGTTCAAGTTTCCATGTGCCGTGGCTGATCGTGAAAATAATGAATTGTCCGTATAAAGCTAGTACTCCATGTTGTCTGAGCATCCAACAATCGGATGTGACGTCTTCCACTCAACCTTTTATGAAAGCAGTTACTATTTCAAATCTATTTTGTCGGAATATACTCGTATGTCTTGTATCTAATGCTACCATCACACCAAAGTAGTTCTATCCCGTTCTACCCAGTCCCCGGCGTAAAATACGATGCTAGTTCGTTCATAAGCAGTCCTCAATACGTCTGTCTCGTTCTTAGCCAGTCTGCAGTCCGTTTGTATCCAGTTCAGATCGTGTAAAAGTGCCCGTTCACCTCGTCCCGACAGCCGTTCTCAACCCGTTCAATTTCGTTCTCCCTCGTTCACAATACGTCCAAGCGAGTTCTAACTAATTCTTAACCCGACCAACTCGTTCACAGTACGTCCTCATCTCGTCCCAAGTGCGTGTGTATTCGCGTCCTGGCTCGACTCCTATGGATACCGAGCGCGTTGTAGCCAGTCTTCATTCAAGTTCAGGGCTCCGAGCTGTGCACATCATGCCTCCAAAGAGAAGTCGACCCGGTCGGTGTGCACACGTACTGCAATTTATGTCCGACTGCACCACGTCGTAACACGTCCCTAGTAGGTTCGAAGTACGGCAATTCCCTTCGTAATACGTCTTTCTCGTTTTACGTACGTTGTCGATCCGACTAATTGCAGAACCGGATGGACGGGATCAAATTTTGAAAGGACTCAAAGTTCTAGAGCACCCTCCCCGTCCGTGAAGTTCGTAAAATGACTTTCAATAGTTGCTACTACGTCCGCTACGTTCATACACAGTTGGAGCCCGTTTGTCAACATTTTCACGAACGTATTGAGAACTAGTTTGGTGTGATGGGGGTATAATGCAATACAATCTCAGTGCTCTCGTATCAGTCAGATACAACTGCCACTGGTGTCAATATTCTGCCGTTCAAGATGATCGCGAATACCGCTATATAACAGTGAACTGCACCCAATGCATGCTTGCTGTGGTGTGGCTGTACTTGGCACTAGTTACCACGAACATGCATTATACGTTACACGTCGACCTGTTCAACATTATCTTTGTTGTCATTAGCACATTTAGGCAAGCTCGCGACTCTAACGATGTTCCCTTTGTACAATGCCGTTATATTTAGACAGCATGTAAGAACGTTCCCTGTCTGGAGGTTACAGCGACACTATGGCCTGCACTGTCCGTTGTACTTACTGGGGCGATCAGGTAGCATAGCTGTTAAGGTGTTCACTTCTTTCACTGTTTCCGGGTTCGATTCCCACATGACAAGAATGCGTGAAACCTTGTCAACAATAAGAGGCGTAGAAGGTAATATTGACACAATAAGGTAAAGTATTATCTTGAATGACAACACATATTCACATACAAGATTTGATTGATTTTAACATGTTGTCAGTCGGAGGTGTATTGTTGTGGATTGATCTGAACCAGCTTCTTACACACTGATTGTATGCGTACGGTAACAGGTGTGGTACACTCACATCAAATAGCGTGTGATGGCATGTGCCATATGTCTCCACACGCAGCCAGGAACAGTGAGTATACAGCGCTCATACAGTAATATGGTCTTCGATGTGTTTGATATGTTCACTATACTTGAACTATGTACACGTTTTTAACATGACCGGTTTATGTATGTGATTTTTCTTCAGCCAATGCATGCAAGTTTGTTTACTTTAAAGCAGGTATTGGTCTCCCTCCAGTATTGTCGATACGACACGCTGTGCTACTCCCCTCAGCCCCACTTGTGGTCGCGCTGTGGTCAGGTAAGCGGGACATTGATGCACGAGACGACTGACGTTTAGTCACTATATTACTTGGCGTTACTCGAGCTGGGAGATTTGGACGCATAACAAGAAGATATATAAAGGTCGATTATTATCGGTTGAAAGGAAATGCAATTACCATTAAAGCACTGCCCGTCACATTGCCCGTAACAGATACGTATCATTAGTTCTCAATAGCGGCTCAAGATCTCGTATTTCAAGCTCTGTTTTTCTGGACTGTTCCCGACTGACTGTGATACACCTGACATCCTTGATGTTACAGGCTTTAGGCCGAGCTTACACCTGTGATCAGGACATACTTGACTACTGTACACAGGTGGTTGACAGACTGCTGCAACCTCTCCTGGTCCAGTCAGGGGGGACCAAGGCGGCACGTGTGTCAGATATCTGTTTATTTACACTATATTGGGATAGCATCAGTATGGCAAGACACTATGTAATAACAAAATAGGCAATACGTACTCCTAAATACATTTATCACATAACATATATATCAACTAAGTAGTGCATTAAGGACAATGACAATGTCATAGGTCACAGCATACATATATAATCGGCAGCATTAAATTGCATAATAACTTAGTCACGTTAACTCATTATAACTCATTATAAACAAACAGCTTTACATTACATATTTACTGAACTTTAGTGATAGTATACCAAACGTATGTAGGTATGTTTGAAATAGGCACCTATGTATAATTATGTATACAAAATATGACATTTGCATCTTGGCATATCAGGATGAAACAAACTGCCACAAATGCATACCCTGTGGGAGACACTGTACAAGCAGTAGCCTGCATGATAAATACCATTCATTTTAGTATCGAACATTGTTGATCATGAATACACAATGCAGACAATATACACATTGTCTAAATAGCATTATGTCCATATTTGAAATATTCCTAATTATTACACATCGTATACTAATCATAGAGATACAGCTCACAATATGAATTTAGACTGAAAGAGTAATCAGCCATTGAAATGAAATCTATTTAGGGACAGGAGACAACGGACGGCAGTCAACATTCAACAACCATGTGAACTCTTAAATTATCTTATTAATGGAGATAGAGGATATCAAAGTTTCAACTCGATCCAGCACTTTAATATTGTCTTTAATTTCAAACTTCAAAAATCTCATATAACATAATTCCATAAATTCAGTGATTCAATGATTGAATAATATATCACACATTCCAAGAATAAGTCGTAATATAATGAACAGCACAGTTGCAGGATAAATGCAGGATAGTAACTTGTACCGTGGCTTTGACAGTGGCTTTGACAGTGGCTTTGACAGTGACTCAGACAGTGGCTTTGACAGTGGCTTTGACAGTGGCTTTGACAGTGACTCAGACAGTGGCTTTGACAGTGGCTTTGACAGTGGCTCAGACAGTGGCTTTGACAGTGGCTCAGACAGTGGCTTTGACAGTGGCTTTGACAGTGGTTTTGTCAGTGGCTCAGACAGTGGCTTTGACAGTGGCTTTGACAGTGGCTCGGACAGTGGCTTTGACAGTGGCTCAGACAGTGGCTTTGACAGTGGCTTTGACAGTGGCTTTGACAGTGGCTCAGACAGTGGCTTTGACAGTGGCTCAGACAGTGGCTTTGACAGTGGCTTTGACAGTGGCTCAGACAGTGGCTCAGACAGTGGCTTTGACAGTGGCTTTGACAGTGGCTCAGACAGTGGCTTTGACAGTGGCTTTGACAGTGGCTCGGACAGTGGCTCGGACAGTGGCTTTGACAGTGGCTTTGACAGTGGCTTTGACAGTGGCTCGGACAGTGGCTTTGACAGTGGCTCAGACAGTGGCTTTGACAGTGGCTTTGACAGTGGCTTTGACAGTGGCTTTGACAGTGGCTTTGACAGTGGCTTTGACAGTGGCTCGGACAGTGGCTTTGACAGTGGCTCGGACAGTGTCTCGGACAGTGGCTTTGACAGTCGCTTTGACAGTGGCTCGGACAGTGGCTTTGACAGTGGCTTTGACAGTGGCTTTGACAGTGGCTCAGACAGTGGCTTTGACAGTCGCTTTGACAGTGGCTTTGACAGTGGCTTTGACAGTGGCTTTGGCAGTGGCTTTGACAGTGGCTTTGACAGTGGCTCGGACAGTGGCTTTGACAGTGGCTTTGACAGTGGCTGGGACAGTGGCTTTGACAGTGGCTTTGACAGTGGCTTTGACAGTGGCTCGGACAGTGGCTTTGACAGTGGCTTTGACAGTGGCTTTGACAGTGGCTTTGACAGTGGCTCAGACAGTGGCTTTGACAGTAGCTTTGACAGTGGCTCAGACAGTGGCTTTGACAGTGGCTTTGACAGTAGCTTTGACAGTGGCTCAGACAGTGGTTTTGACAGTGGCTTTGACAGTGGCTCGGACATTTGCTTTGACAGTGGCTCGGACAGTGGCTCAGACAGTGGCTCAGACAGTGGCTTTGACAGTGGCTTTGACAGTGGCTTTGACAGTGGCTCGGACATTTGCTTTGACAGTGGCTTTGACAGTGGCTCGGAAAGTGGCTTTGACAGTGGCTTTGGCAGTGGCTTTGACAGTGGCTTTGACAGTGGCTCGGACAGTGGCTTTGACAGTGGCTTTGACAGTGGCTTTGACAGTGGCTCGGACAGTGGCTTTGACAGTGGCTTTGACAGTGGCTTTGACAGTGGCTTTGACAGTAGCTTTGACAGTGGCTCAGACAGTGGCTTTGACAGTGGCTTTGACAGTGGCTTTGACAGTGGCTCAGACAGTGGCTTTGACAGTAGCTTTGACAGTGGCTCAGACAGTGGCTTTGACAGTGGCTTTGACAGTAGCTTTGACAGTGGCTCAGACAGTGGCTTTGACAGTGGCTTTGACAGTGGCTTTGACATTTGCTTTGACAGTGGCTCGGACAGTGGCTCAGACAGTGGCTTTGACAGTGGCTTTGACAGTGGCTTTGACAGTGGCTCGGACATTTGCTTTGACAGTGGCTTTGACAGTGGCTCGGACAGTGGCTTTGACAGTGGCTTTGACAGTGGCTTTGACAGTGGCTTTGACAGTGGCTCGGACAGTGGCTTTGACAGTGGCTTTGACAGTGGCTTTGACAGTGGCTCAGACAGTGGCTTTGACAGTCGCTTTGACAGTGGCTTTGGCAGTGGCTTTGACAGTGGCTTTGACAGTGGCTCGGACAGTGGCTTTGACAGTGGCTTTGACAGTGGCTTTGACAGTGGCTGGGACAGTGGCTTTGACAGTGGCTTTGACAGTGGCTTTGACAGTGGCTCGGACAGTGGCTTTGACAGTGGCTTTGACAGTGGCTTTGACAGTGGCTTTGACAGTGGCTCGGACAGTGGCTTCGACAGGTTGAAAAACCGTATGTCCTCTATTCCCTTAACACAATCTTACACTCTCTTAGAAACACGTCTTACTTCTTTCATATCTTAAAAATCTCTGCTCTCTTTCTCACACTCATTCGTCGAAAGTATATCTGAAATTCTTGTGGGATACTTATCGGGGTTGATCAGGTCACGACCTCTAAGACTCCACACAAGACAATTAACTTTTAAGTCTTAGCTGCAACATTATACTATTACTGTCACCAACCCCTGGGAAAATAGCCTGAAACGGCCACTGGCAGCAAGGGCTGGCTGTTTCTCATGTTAACTATAATAAACACATGCACCCATGTACACATACAAACCCTAACAGTTCCAATTAAAAGGATTTTCAATGAACTACATGTACCTAAAATTCGGGTCTAACAAACCAGGCAGGAGACAAGAGACAAATGACGGCAGTCAACATTCAACAACCATATAGGGGACATCAGACAACGGACGGCAGTCAACATTCATCATCCATTTAGGGGACATCAGACAACGGACGGCAGTCAACATTCAACAACCATATAAGGGACATCAGACAACGGACGGCAGTCAACATTCAACAACCATATAGGGGACATCAGACAACGGACGGCAGTCAACATTCATCATCCATTTAGGGGACAAGAGACAACGGACGGCAGTCAACATTCAACAATCAGGTAGGAGACAAGAGACAACGGACGATGGTCAACATTCAACATACAGGTAGGAGACAAGAGACAACGGACGATGGTCAACATTCAACAACAACCACTTAGGGGACAAGAGACAACGTACGGCGGTCAACATTCAACATACAGGTAGGAGACAAGAGACAACGGACGATGGTCAACATTTAACAATCAGGTAGGAGACAAGAGACAACGTACGGCAGTCAACATTCAACAACAACCACTTAGGGGACAAGAGACAACGGGCGATGGTCAACATTCAACATACAGGTAGGAGACAAGAGACAACGGACGATGGTCAACATTCAACAACAACCACTTAGGGGACAAGAGACAACGTACGGCGGTCAACATTCAACATACAGGTAGGAGACAAGAGACAACGGACGATGGTCAACATTCAACAACAACCACTTAGGGGACAAGAGACAACGGACGGCGGTCAACATTCAACATACAGGTAGGAGACAAGAGACAACGGACGATGGTCAACATTCAACATACAGGTAGGAGACAAGAGACAACGGACGATGGTCAACATTTAACAATCAGGTAGGAGACAAGAGACAACGGACGATGGTCAACATTCAACATACAGGTAGGAGACAAGAGACAACGGACGATGGTCAACATTTAACAATCAGGTAGGAGACAAGAGCCAACGGACGATGGTCAACATTCAACAACAACCACTTAGGGGACAAGAGACAACGTACGGCGGTCAACATTCAACATACAGGTAGGAGACAAGAGACAACGGACGATGGTCAACATTCAACAACAACCACTTAGGGGACAAGAGACAACGGGCGATGGTCAACATTCAACATACAGGTAGGAGACAAGAGACAACGGACGATGGTCAACATTTAACAATCAGGTAGGAGACAAGAGACAACGGACGATGGTCAACATTCAACATACAGGTAGGAGACAAGAGACAACGGACGATGGTCAACATTTAACAATCAGGTAGGAGACAAGAGACAACGGACGATGGTCAACATTCAACATACAGGTAGGAGACAAGAGACAACGGGCGATGGTCAACATTTAACAATCAGGTAGGAGACAAGAGACAACGGACGATGGTCAACATTCAACATACAGGTAGGAGACAAGAGACAACGGACGATGGTCAACATTTAACAATCAGGTAGGAGACAAGAGACAACGGACGGCAGTCAACATTCAACAACAACCACTTAGGGGACAAGAGACAACGGACGATGGTCAACATTCAACAACAACCACTTAGGGGTTGACAGCTTGTTCGATCATCTTACTGCGTAAACAACAAACCACCTATCGAGACTGACAGGATGTATTTGGTTAAAGGCACCTCATGGATGATGGTGGTGTTATAGTTTGAGGGCAAAATGCGAAATCTAATGGAGAATGGGGGCCACAGTTGCGTCCCTTAGGTGCCTTAGAATCCTATGCCCATAGCTTAAATCCCTGATCGTTACCATACCCAAGATCGTTGATTTACATTAGGCGGTAAACGTCTTAAACCTGTATCACTGACATATTGATTGTAACTTAAATACTGTATGAGGCTGCGTTAGACAGTGACCTAGTGTCCAGACCCCAGAGACATCAGTTAACAACGGAGTCCAACTCAAGTCTAGAATGATTTGGCAAACCTATATTGCTCCAGCTCTAGGATTGTTTTTGGCTCCATTTTTATTTGATTTTTTTCTAGTTTATAGATATATATTTTTAAATAAGATACCTTTTTCTGGGACTAAATGTCGATGTGTGCCTGGCTGACTCCCGTATTCACATTCACATAAGGAATAGGAGACATTGTAATTGATTCGTTGCTATTCTCCCTTACATTCCAACACATAGTATGAACAGGCAGTAACCCCGCTCAGCCAAGTCACTGGTTCGAGGGGCAGCACGCCCTTCTCGGTCTGTTGGTTTGAGCTGGTCAACATTCAGTGGCGGGTTACTGCGCTTCCCTCCACAGCCTTATAGTATATCATAACCCTGTATACCGTAGTCTCAGTGCCCATAGATGTACATTTTCATAGTTTACATGCTTCATCTTGCGTCCTTTGAGTTAAGGCTCCATATAATATACAAATTACTATGCGATTTTGTCATGATAATCGTATCATTCAACTAACTATTCCACAAACAACGTCCCAGTGTGCCTTAGTATCACAGACCGGTTGAACGGCAACACGCCAGCAGAATAGAAGTGTTTCCCTGTGTGAACTAGTGCTGGACTAATTGCCAGGTTTATTGGTATTGTGAATCGACATGATATATGTTGAATAAGCTATTATTAATTTGACATAAACATAAATTATCTACTACATGTTTTAGTTTTAAGAGACAAGATGGGCGTGACATTACAGTGGATCTTGTATCCCTCGTGCAGTACACTATTTATTAATATTCTTCATTCCTTTATAATGACCGAGTGTTGTATTACGCCGCAGCCGACACTATTCTATATCTTTAACGGCGGCCAGTAAATAATTGAATCAAATATTAAAAATGGTTCAAGCGATAGCAACGTCTCACATTTTCGGGGCACCATGAAATGCAATGATATACTTTAGTATGGCACATAGTCTGGGCTCCCAATCCTCATTGAAGTCTCAACATTGAAGAAATGGGGACCTACACTCATACGTGCTTTCGTTTCATTTGTAGCCATAAATGATTTCGTTTTTGTGTTTTTCAATATTGTGTATGCCTTGTAGCAATATATCTCCTGCAGGAATTGTCCTGGCTCATAGACCAGGTATAACCATATATTCATGACTGGAGGCTAGATCATAATCAACGACAATCTCATTATACAGTTTCAGGTCTCCTGTGTTCGTGTGAGAGTGTGAGAGTGTGATTGCACAGACACACACACACACTCTCTGATTCAGGCTTTGTCATTGATGGAAATATAGCACGTTTGGAGCCATTGCACATCGCATCTGACTGACGGGGTAAGTGTGACTTGTTCTGCATGGTGTGTTCAGGTGTGAAACCTTGTGCTGTAGCAGGAAATATAGCCGAAAAGCCTTATATTGTGCTTGTTATCAGGAAACCTGAACACATGAATCGTGTGGGTTACTAAGGTACGTTTCACTCCGCTGTTCCAGGCCATACTACCCCACAGCGGATCCACACTTTGGCAGTGCGCACGAAGTCACACTTTACAACCTCTTTATAATGACACTAAGCATAAAGTGGAAGAGTTTGCATGACAATCAGTTTGACATTAACACGTTTATAACCAGATAAGTGAAACCGATAAACTGACATTCTAAGCCAAACGTTTAGTTGCATCTAAATTAAGTTTTGAGACATCGCTTACTCCCCAGTTAGCTTAGCTTTGTTTACGCGAAAGAAGAAGTCTTACAATTTCATGTTTTTCACAACACTCTTTTTCAGGCTACCCAACGTCAAGCAAAACATTTGAAATATATTTTTGAAACCATGAGGTCAAATTATGTTTCCAGTTTCAATTATTTATTGAAAAAACACAGCCCCCCGCAGCTCCCGCAACGCCGCACATTAGCTGGTATAATTAGAAGCCCCTCCTATTACGGTGGCCTGCATTAGGGTTAAAGTTGTTGGTACTAGAATCATTGCGTTGTGTTCTCCGATTCATGACTATCAACTAACCAATATGTCATGCCTACACGTGTGCCATCTCACTGTCTGAAAACACTATTATCCTGATAGTCAATGTGTGATTGTTCATAGATGTTTGTTTCACAGAAGGTTTGTCATTCAGGCCGCTCAATTCAAAATTAAGGCATGTCCAGATGCACGCTTTGTCCGTGTGTTGAGTTTGTTAGGGAATGAATGGCAGCCAGTATGGTGACACTGCCAATATACACAGGTCCGAGTTAAACTGTAGATCTGGAGCGCTGTTTCCTGTCAACTGAAGGTATGACAGAGTTCCAGAACAGCTTCTGGCTGATGGTGAATATGGAGTCCAGACGCAAGTGCTCCAGATCGGTTCATTCACATCAAGTGACTGAGTCGAAACGACGGTCACATTTCCCAGAAACCTAATGCGAGATAGTACATGCCTAAGGTGTTAGTCAGTTTCACTGTGTGGGAGATGATGAAGTATACCTTCTCATTATATTCAGATCTCACTTCCAACGGTGACTTGAAGCTTTGTCATACCTAGACACGAGCGTGTTCAACGACACTGTGTGTACACGTTGGAGAGCGTTGTCTGTGCTAAACATGTATAATACCAACCAGAGAGGGGCTAAATAGTCTTCCTGTGAATAGATTCAAACCAACACAGCATGGTTGTGAGAAAACAGCACCTGGCCCCGCACGCACACTATTGTATCGGGCACGTAGAGTCGTGATCCTTCAGACAATCATACTTACACGGCCCGTGTTTACTTATCTTGCCATTGCTGTCCGCTGATTATAAACTTCGTATGGCGTCATCCTTTTGTTTTCGGACAGACCTGTACCTGTCGATTACAACTTGGGCAAGTCCAAGACTAAAGAACAATTGACCGAGCGTTCTATACCCTAGATAAAACGTGTTTCAGTTCCTTCCCTCAGACTGAACTCGGCTCACGTCCCATCCATGTCATCAATGGCAGTGACAGATCCATCATGTCCCAGGGAGAAGAAGTCATGACAAAACTAAAACATATTGTTCTATCTTAACATAATGTACATAACATTGTATTGAAGTCTCTTCATATGTATCTAGATGTTGGAAGGGTTGAACAAAATTGTCCTCGTGAAAATCAGTTTATAAACGTAAAAATAAAAATGTGGGGGACGTGAGTATTGATAAGATTTCGTTTTTCGTTTTCGTCCGTGACAGTATAACTGTGAACGTAATTATACGAGTGGACAACATAGTACAGACGAAGATACAGTGGCGCTTGCACCTACACATGGGGCACGGACTATGCGGGAGTGATTACCCTGACGGCCCAGGGGGTAGTTGCTTCACTGAGTCTGGTATTCCGACTGGACATTTACCATGTGTACAGCCGCGAGTAGGATACGCCTGATTGCTGGACTTGACTTCTTTATTGTTGAGATGGTATCACCGTAGTCTAGCTCCCAGACCCTAGAGAAAAAAAGAAAAAAAAAGGAGTCTAACTCAAGTCTAGAATAATTTGGCAAGTTTAGATTACCTTACCTCTGAAATTAAGGATTGTTCTGGGCTCCATTTAGATTATGTATGTTTTACTTTGTAGATATATAAAAGTCAGTCTAGTATCACGGCTCGACACGTTTAAATGTTTACTGCTTTTGTATATATTTAAGCGTCTGAAGAGGTTTTGACTCATCCTTCGTCTTTGATCTGAGCTGATTCCTCCATCGACATATCGACGTATCGTTGTACTGTGTGTGCCGTCATATAGCTGCAATATTGCTGAGTGAGGCAATAAACAACAAACAATTTGATTGTGACACATATTTTTCATCTTAACATATATTCCTCGTTTGAATTATATTAAATGGAAACTCGTTAACGTCACATTAAGATACAAACTCAAGTTTATACTTTTTCATTTACAAAAACCTTAAAAACGCCTATTTATAAAGTAATCTGACAATAAAACGCTCTTTTTCGTCACACGTTCAAAACAAAGAAAAGAATAACACTCTTATGATAATCTCCAGCTGTATTTTCTAGCAGCCTTCTGGCGACCTATTTAGACCAGGAAGAAGGATGAATCTGTATACTAGTATTGATGAACAAGTCATAGGTGAAACCTGACTACCTTTGCCAATAACAATGTTTAGAGAATTACCTCAGGTTGTATTCCTAATAACGTACATGATTAAAAACATGTACTATTAGTGTCACTATTTAAATGAATAGCAGAAATTATAGCAAAAATATTTTTCACCTTGCTCTTATCCAGTTTTCGCCTACTTGGGTTCGCTATGTGTGCGCTCGGATTTACCTTTGTTTGAGTTTTCGTTCAGGTCATAATGGTGTCTTTTATGTTATTGATCTTCATGACCTGGCCCGTTTCAAGAATTAAAACACACCTGTGACGTCATTCTATTGTCTAAACGCTTCATTATTGTTCAGGAATGGAGTGTTGTTTGTCAGTTATTAATAATCTTGAACCAACATTTCAATTAATTTGCACTTGGAATTGACGGAACTATTTTCAAAATATTTTGACAAGTAAATAATTTAAGATTTTGTCGAAAAACATGTGTTGCCAGCGGGGTTCGAACCCGCATCGTTTAAATTGAAGACGTGTAATTGTCGACCTCAGCTACGGCGACAAATGAAAATATGATGAGAAATTAGCTATTAAATGTTTTGCATAATGTTTAAAAATTAAAAAATAATATGCATGTATATAATATATATATATCCTTGTTCGGGGCTCTATATACATGTGTATCCTATAATGCCCGTCAGCATGTATGTACAAGCGATTGAAAAAATACTAGTTTAGAAACCCACGAACTTATGAAGAGCCGTGTACCATGCATTGTAAATATCAGCTCGCGACGGAGCTTTGTGCACGTACAACAGCGGCAGAAAACGCATTCCTCGTGCATCACGCAAGGGCGAATCACACAGAATAAATACAGACTACTTTCAAATATTTTCCACAAGAGAACATTTTGTCAAAGTGTAAAAGTAGGGATCTGTTTTAAGTAGGGGAATATCCTCGTAACTCTCGATTCCTTAAAAATAATGCAGGGGCCCTGCTTCATTTTTTCTAAGGAAAGGGGAGTTACTCGGACATTCCCCTCTGCATAACAATACAGTTTTAATATGTCCCCCCAAAAGTGATATTTAACTGTAGGATATTCAGCTAACCAGGTATACATGCTCTCTAAGACAGCGCTTGCTGACTTGTTGTATAAGGAGAGGTGGAATGGTGTTTAACGTGTATATCTAAGAGTGAATATTATCCTACCCTATTTTTTTTATCCCGGGGATGAAATTCTCTAGTGTCAGGATGATTCTCCCCAGTGAATTTGAACCCATACCCGTGTGTTTAATCCTATCCTATACTATACTCTAGTGTAAAAATCCCCCCCCCCCCCCCCCCCCCCCCCCCCGACCGCTCCTTGTTCTAGCCCCTTTATGCCAAGCGCCAGGCAGGGTAACAAGAAGTACCATCTTTTAACGTCTTTTTGGTGTGGCGCGGCCAGGCAGACACGGATTCTGGTTCTCGTTGTATGATGATGTCACACTGACAGAATGTAGTGAATGACATGCTTAGTTTCTCAGTGTGTATCCGTTGGTAAGTACTTGGTTGTGTGGTAGTGTGCGGGGGTCCTGCCTTGACACAAGTCTTTATCTACCCAATGTGCGTCTGTTTCAGCTGATCTGCAAGTGACGTCATGGTGGGTGTGTGGCTGGTCCTCCTCATCCTCATCCTTATGTTCCTGGCGGGGTTAGGGACGCTGAGTCACGGGGTCACCGCCAGACATACACGCCGCGATATGTGTACCCTCATCCCACTCGCCACTGTCTGCATCGTGGGCATCATCCACATCTTCCACTACGTCGCCTTCCTCACACTGGCGTCAAATGACCCCGACATCGTACTATTGAAGACAAGGATACAGTTGGACTACACTTCCATAAACATAGTCATCCTTTCGTTCCTTTGGAGATTCTATGCAATGGCGAGCTTGAAAACGGTTCAGACAATGAAAGCGTTTGTGTATTTTGTATCAACGGCTGTTGGTATGGTCACGATCAGGCCGCTATTTCCCAACAGTCAGTTGTTGAGTTTGGCTCTGTCCCAACAAGACCATGGCATGTTTAAATACTCCTGTATAGCGTCATTCTTGTGTGGCCTGTCCATGGAATACTTCATGTTCTACCTGCCTGCGTTCATCACCATGTGCATACTATACCGCAGAAGTTCAGCCCTGAGTCCCAGTGAGGCCGGTGCACGGAATGGTAAGGCTGTGCTGAATTACCGGGCGTGTCTTTTGTTATAGGGCGGGTAGAGACCGAGGGATTCAGGGGAGGGTTGTCTTCGCTTGTGTCGGGGACATGCTTAAAAAGGATGTTTGAGAATGTACTGACAAAGATAATATAAATCGTTTTATCATTTTTTTGTCCTGCATTTTGTTGACAAGACAGGTAGTCCTTCAATTAAATTAAATTAATTAAAATCGATGAAGTGCATTGTGTAATCAATATATTATTGTCTAATATAGCTTTTATCATTCATGAAACCTGTTCACTTCTTTGCAATATTTATTCCTTCATTTCCAGAAGACCCGGTGATCTCTGTGGATGTGTTGAAGTTGGGCGGAACAGAAGACAGGTGTGTCAAATGTGAGACTATGTCGCCGTTCCTCGACATGGTGGCGGCGTTCATGGCGCTGATGCTCCTGCTGGTGCGACCGCTCTACGTCATGTTCTACTGCCTTGTTCACGGCATCACCTTGGACCTGGATAACGCATACTGTCTGTTCCCATTCTATGTCGCTCTGTGCTTTGTGAACGTCCAGTGTAAGAGATCACACGAGCCTCACAACAGCTTGCCTCTAGTCTGTTCCGGGGAAGAGGCCAGTGTACATGTCAAATAATATGTAAATGATTCTATGCCTGGGAACGTGTTGGTATGTGTCCCTACAGATATTTAAGGACAGAATGGTTGTGTTTAACCATGATGTAAAGTGACATGTGAATCTGTACAAATATATGCCTTGAAAAAAGTAAAACCCCGTCCGGGATGTTATAACTTCACCGGATGTCGTTTTTCTTTGATCACAGGTGAAACATTGTATGACGAACACGTTATTATTGTCTGAATATTACCCATGTAATTATGTAAACTGTTGCAGTTTTGATTAACCGTTTTGCCTCTTACAATCGATAATTTTAGCCACATTATGCCCTTTCAGAACTGTGGTCTCGAATTTCCACAGAATGTGTACCTTATTGGTGAAAACACTCCCAGTCACTCTACACTGCGTCTTCATTGAAAGCAATGAAGGTATCTTTGTGACCATTTTGTTGCCGTCTGACTTGTCCAGCACGTTTCCTCTTGCCCTGACCCTAATGTCGTAAATGGCAGCTGTGGCAGCTGTGGCCATTCTTGGTGGAACACTGCACGTAATTCCGGAAAGTTCTCCACTTGTGGTTAACCTTGCCGGGCGCTGTCGTTGAAATGCCCTACACAAGTTAAAACGGGTTCTATAACGGGGTGTGTGCAGGCTAAGGGTTAGAGAATTATGCTGTGGTAATTCAACCACAGAACTTCGGAATGTGCATGGCCGTCCGTGAAAACTGGTCGATGTTAAGGTGTTGTTGTCCACATTTGGGTAAAACTTGATCAAAAATGTCGCTCAGGGAGCTTTCGCCTTTGAGGATGCATTGTACAGTGACTACGTTCGCAATGGTTGGAAATAACATCCCTAGTCCAGTACCTGTTGTACTAAAGACCCGAGATCTGTTCTCAGGTGGATGCAGGAAAAAGCTACTACTTTCATGGACGAATGAATGCGTCAGCATGCCATCTTATATGCTCTTTGCAGTGAGGCAAGGGATTATTTCTGTTGGTTTTTTTTCTCGCTGAATACCCTGCAGCCCTCACGGCATTGTCAGAGTCCAAACCCGGTACAATGTACTACCTACAAATCCTCCACCTCGTTGCACATGTGTCCTTAATAGCTAATGGGTTGGTTAAGTGGTTGGTGCCTAATGCTTTCTCACGTGTATATATGGGAGTCTTCCATCCATGCAATAAATTAAATAAAGGTCAATTCAATATTGCATGTAATCTACTATGTTGGGTTTATTACAGTGCTACCTCTTATCCTATGCTGCCTGTAAATAATTGTGAGGTCTGAAATAAAATATTTTCATACAAATTTTGTCCACATTGATCAACCTTACCAGAACGCAGAATACAACATTGGCTTTGAGGCCTATAATTTGACTGCAGAATAGAACATGGGTATTGTTACCTGTGGTGATATGACAAAGATGTCTCCGTTCATTAACTATATTTAATAGATGTACACAAGAATGTGGCGGGTGCCATGTGCTTGCACTCAGCAACATGCTAGTGAGAGTTATCTCCCTTATATTGTCTGGCTGAGGCCCAAGTAAGGATGGGGCCCATTTAGGGTTTAGCTAATGCCACTTCTCCTTTTCTTAAGCACGATAGCAAGCTGAGAGTTGTCTAACATTAAAAAGCTAGTAATATAAGAATAACTGTTGATTTTATACTATACATAACAAATAACAATGTCCTTTCCACTTTTGGAGTAAAAATACATTTCATCCTCAGTGTCTTTTACTAAATAAACAAACACAATGTAAATTTAAATCTACAGAACTGTTAATTACTAACATGACTGTTAAGTTTTCAACAAATCAAGTCTGTCAGGTTTAATTGAAACCCTTCTGGATCACATTAGGTGGAATGTCATGCTGCACACTTGATGGTCAGGTCGATGTTACTGGTACTGTTTGCAGAACAGTGAGTGAGTGAAAATGGTTTTACGCCGCTTTTAGCAATATTCCAGCAATATCACTGCGGGGTACACCAGAAATGGGCTTCACACATTGTACCCATGTGGGGAATGGAACCCAGGTCTTCGGAGTAATGAGCGAACGTTTTAACCACAAGGCTACACCACAGCCCCGTTTGCAGAAGAGGTCCATCAATTCACCACTATGTACCTGCTCTCTATACAAACCAAACACAATCCAAACATTAGGAAATAATACTTGTTTATTTGCACCTTAGTTATTAGTTACATAACATCACACTGCATGTGATCCATGATGAAGATCAACTCTTGCCAGCATGTGCAGCAATCCAAGTATATATACAGTTGTGTATATGTACAATCTAGCTTGTCTCTGGATTACAAGTTAACAGTGCAACACTGGACTGCAGTCTAAGACATAGAACTGTTCAGGCGATGTATGACAAATACACAACATGGACGTGTCCTGCATAGTTAATCCTGCACAATGTACACCAGGCTACACAACAGTGTGTCCTTCGTGAATGCCCTTTACTGGCATTCCTGCTCATTTGCATGAAACAAATACCATTTTTGGTACACATACTTCTCTAAGATGTTTTGACATTGGATGGTCATATACGAGGGTATGAGTTTATGATTTATTTTTAGCACTGTTATCAATGGCTGTTTCAAACACAAGTTTGTATCTCCGAAGAAATATTCTCAAAATAAGTGAAGTCAACTGTCTTCTTCATGTACAAGTAGCTTCTTTCAAAAAGCATGTGATAAACAAGTTTCCAGGGATAATTATTGCTGCTACAAGGAAAAGCATCTGACATTCTCTAATTTCAATGGGCATACAATAAGCTTAGAATAATCAACACACAATTATTTTCCTCTGAGATCAGCAGCTTTGAATGTGATGAAGGCAGACAGATGACTGCAACCTATTCCTTAACCTTTGTAGATCTCAGAAATAATTTATTCATAAAATTAGGATAATATCAGTTACAGCTGATGCCATATCATAGTCATCATAAATGAATGTTGGTTGTCAAACAAAACATTTAACAAGCAGTCCTTAACAAAAACAGTCATCGACACAGAATAAAACATGTTGAAGATGAGAGAGTACAATTTCTGTTTTGATGTTGCACAGTAATTTGTTCAAACAATAATATACACCATCACACAATTGCATACATAAATCCCATAGCAGAATACTGTAAACAATGTGATGAGTTGAAGACAGAGATCAGTGTTGAAGCCATGTCAGTCACACATACAGGACTGCAGCACACGACTACTGCCAATTCAAGTCATTCACTTGGACAGAAGTTCCAGTTTGGTGTTCATTAACCAAGGATTTGAATGCTGAAAGAAGATCATATCAGCCTGACTAGATCATATCCAGATTAACTGGTGAATGCCTTTGTACCAATGGATTTCAGCTGATCATTGCAGGAGATTGACAAGGTCATATTACAGTACTTTCCCTGCTTGTAAACATGGTTCTGAAATCTAACCTAATGACAGCTACCTGTGCGGGTCTTCATGTTGCTAGTAGTACCTTGTGTCACAATGTTATCAGGCTAATCAGGTATTGCTTGATGGATTTAGATCCTGGAAAGTTTGCAAATGAATAGTGGCATTTAAAGACATGATTCAAATTAAGAATTGTCTATGTCAGTTTCTGTTAATTACATGTGTATCTCATTCTACGGAACTGCATAAATCATGGAAACAATTGGGGGATGGGGGAGGGGCGACTCTGTCAGATTGTGATTTCTAAATCAGTCAACCTGAACAAAATGATACCATTTGAAGATCAACATGCAATAATGACAATAATCTATTCAGCACCTAACACTCATTATATCAACAACAGCACGGACTAGCCTGCCCCTTAATCTAGGAATGTAGTACATAGCAAAGAAAACAACTACAACAAGAAGTCTGTTACCACAGCAACAGACCTTTAACTCCCTTGTTTGACAATGTTTATAACATGCTGACAGCAAGATGCACATCAAGCAGGTGTTTGTCTCACATAAATACACAATGAGAACTAGCATAAGAAAAGAAGGAACATGTTGATGTATTTCACAGAAACATACTATATACCTTCCATACCATCTCATGACACCACAATACACCATTGCATCCAGTCCAGACATCAGTGACCGCAAGGGAACTGACCAGTGCTAACTCCACATGTCAATATTATCATGGTGTACACACATGTAGAATACCAGGCCTGCTATCAGAAACAACATGATGACACACTGTTCATGTTTAGGATGTCATTCTATGAATATAATACTACTAATATTTAAGCAAGTGAGCAATATAAGTAATATTTACGTGTCAAAATTATTACTATCAAAACTATTATTTTCATGTTTGTTTGAATTGTTTTAAAGTAACAGACCAATTGTTTGAATATTGTGCTCTAAAGAATTGAACCTTTGACATGCTCAGAGTGTTTGCATCAACGTTTTATATGAAGTGGAACGAACAGAATACTTTCATCAGTGACAGTGTCCTTGCAGGATATAAAAGTGAAACAGGTTTAAGCCATCTTACTCCTGAGCAATGGGGCCTAGGTCAGTACTGGTCAGTGTTGGGACTCAAAACTTTCTTTGGCTATACTTTTACAGAATACTACATTCTCGCGAACATTCACAGACACCCCATCCTGTACACTGTCATAATAACACCCAAATATCATAATCATCATCATCATCATCATCATCATCATGTATCACTTTATCACAACAATGTATATTTGTCAAGTCTAATGAATCCTGACATCTGTTCTCACACCTTATACTAAACATTAATAGGATTACGCATGTGGCTTATGTCAAGACATAGATAAGTTGAAAATATCATACCAGTAACATATATTGCACTAAGACTTTGGGCAAAATACTCAAACTGCCCATCTTGATTGTGTTCTTCAGAAAAAATAATATTTTCCTATATAAGCATCTTAATTTCTTAAATAATGTTTGTATTGAAAATATGTCCATCAGGTTCATGCTATATACAATTATATATTTCCCTTTGTCCATTGGGTGTACCACGGACCTATATAACCATAGGTTATACAAGTCCATGGTTGTACTGAGCAGATATACATTTTTTTCAGCATATCTTTTAACCAAAGTAACACTCTGCTGTTCTCATAAATCTACCTTGTGCTTATATCATCTCTGTTCAATATGAAGTACTCACAGTACAAACAAACAGTATTACTACTTGTCATAAACTGTTACTGAGGTGGTCACATTTTGCTACAAGACCAGCCCAGCAGGATCCACAAGCATCGGTTGCACATCTAAACATGGGGGCCATTTCAAATAGCGGCTGAAATTCACAGCCATTCACGATGTTCATAGCAAGAATGGCTGGAACTTCTTACATAATATGATTATCTTAACTAGCAATCATGGCATACATTAACACTAAGTTTGTAAATAATGTCTGACCTCCACAATTTCAGTTCATGTTCGGTGGTGCGTTGACTTATTCAGCTTTAACTCTTCTGTGGCCCATACCGTAAAGACTCCTTCAGTAAAGTTGTGAAGACATGTAAGGTGCATCCTCCACAACATTGTTCTCACCGTAACTTCCATGATTTCTACCTTCAGGTGGAAATATTTATTGATGTGCACACAACCAGTCCTTATGAGTTCCTGATGAATGCCTTCCGATGACAAGACTGGATGTTGTTGACCCCCATATTATTCTCCATGTGAAATTGCCCCTTGTTTCTCTCTGCAAGTGAATCCACTGTGGGATCTGTGTTCCTCCCACCATGTTAATGTTGTTGCTGCAGCTGAAGACATGGCGGCCAGGCATAGCAACATACACACAAGCTGCTGTTGTCAGTACCAAGCTGTTAACATATAGAACTCAATAACACTGACACCTGTGCTAATGACATCAATATGTACATCAGATATCAATGGCACACAATTATGTCATAACAGCTGACCTGGGTCTAGTGACACCAGCCAATGAAAGACGCTCTCCATCACACTTAGCATTGCACACATATTCCTGTCTCACTGACTGAGATCAAGACCTGTATATCTTGATGACGTCCTTGATCTGCTGCCGACAGATGGGACACAGTCCACCCTTGTCCTTCCTGACTGCGATTGCACACTCATAACACATACACATGTGTCCACATGTGTACAGGACACAGTTGACCTGCCTTTCATAGCATACTGTACATTCACTGGTGTCGTCAAACACTGGTGGGCTGTCGCCAAGGCCAGATGTTGGGGACGTTGGCATTGACACAGGGTATGGTGGTGGGGGTGGCACTGCACCTGTTGGGGATGTGGGTGTGGCTTGGGAGGGTACACTGAAGCTGCGCAGCACTGATGGAGGCACTGTGGGTGGGGGTGGGCGTGGTGGAGGGTGGGAGGCAGTGTTAGACTGATGTGCTGAGGGGGGTAAAGACACTGTCAGGCCAGAGTAGCTGGATGTTGACCGTGACCGAGGGAGGCGAGGGAGATTCCCTGAGGGATTTGTAGCACCTGAAAATAAAAGAAAACCTTTATGTATACATACGATTAAACCTATCACCTATATTCACCATTATTTTGGACATTAATTCTGCCCTTGTAATAACCTCTAATGAGTCTTAGGAGTTTTTACTTTTTCCATGAGTTAAGTAGCAAATGAGGTCTTGACTTGGTTTGTCAAACGTCCAATATTCTAAAATCAAAAACAAGAATTGAAACTTTGTCATTATTGATGATGGGAATCAAACTCCTCCTGATCAGTAGTCAGACACTCTAACCATTAGACCACAGAACTGGTTGAAGATCGGTGCTTCATAGTTTAGCATATATTTCCTGGTCAGATATATTTTATGAGCATTCCTTTAGACTGTTGTAACACACTTTTATACATAATATTAAACAAAAATGAATAAATGTTGTTTCGACAGTTCATAAGTCAGATAAAACACTCCTCGCTTTTAGAAGTAAAAACCTTCAGGCAGCCTAAGGCCCTTAGTTCTACTAGCTTGGTCACTACTTCCCTCAGGTTTCACTGTCAACCAGTACCGAGGAGGAATGTTATATATCTTACATAACTATATAAAGTGTTAAACTTTCTTGGCCTTGCAAAAAAAAAAAATACTTCCAATTAAAATCAGATGTCAGCAGACAACATCTTCTGTTCTCTCTCTCCAGCGACATTCAACTAATAGTCTTACTTTTCTTCTCTTTATCTTGTAATTCCAAACTGCAAGTATCCATCTGGGTTAATACACATATAAGTTCATTTTGCTTTTCACATGACATTGTGCACAAACTAACACTTACATTGTGTCCATACACACTGCCAAGAAATTGATTGCTGAGGGGATAGCTGTCATTTCAAAACCCCACTAAAGAAGTTAAAAGTATTAGAAAATTTCACATGCATACAGTTCTTTGACTGTTAATGATTATTAACGATAAAATTACAGTTCTTCACCAATGAATAGCTATAATAATTAATTTTGACAGTCTCATTGGGTATTTCTATGAAACTAATGCTCATAAAAATCACCATCCTTTTGAATATTTGTAAGAACATGATATCATCACTTTGAGCATGTTGAGATATGTATAGCACATATTTCTTTTCAATTTAATAGGTGTACAGCTTCAAGACCTGAGACCATTACCTCCTCTAATCAAATCTTCCGGAATTATTGGCTTTCATTTCTCCAGGAAATACATACCGGTATGTTAAGCAGGATGTTTGGATAACATAATTGTCCCTTTCTTCAATCTTTATCTTAACTTGTGTCATAGCTTAGTTGTTGAGATGGTTAAGTATGGAATGGATATTGGAATGGAATTTAGAATTAGAAAAAGTGGAATATACTCATCTCACTCTGAAAAAAAACCCCTGTGTTGTATAGACCCTCACTGAGACATTAACAGAATTGCTTGACAGTTTGTAAACAGCTGTAGCCATTGCTGTAGAGACTTGTGCAAGCCTACTCTGTAACATTTGTCATAATGGATAGACATTATCGATGGCTTTTAATAGGATAATAAACGTGACAAATATAAAAATAAACCACACATATTGTTCTTCACTTTGGGTTCTGTTTTGCCTCATTTGATTATCACCACAAATCATTAGATTTCAGTATTGAATAAGCTGTTTCCTCATCTAGGTATGTCTCCTCTCCCTTAGCGCTGGTGAGGGCAAAGGCCGAAGAGAGAAGCTGACACCAATGTCCCTCAGCTTATCCGTCATATCGTTGACAGCTGTTTATAAACTGTCTTAGCATATTAGGTTGGAGACACATTTGTAAATAGGATAGGTTCCATTTGTCTCATTCCAAATTCCACTCCAGCACACCAATCCAAACTCCACTTCAAAATCCATCGATACTTTACCCTATTCTGGAAACAATGCAGTTGTTTCCCCTATTCATACCTCCAAATACCACTTCACACAAATATTTCTCATTATTTTGATCAAAATAAAATGTCTCAGCATGACCTATGGAGAAAGATCTGTCAGGTCACATCAAATTTTGATTATCTGCTAAAATGTTGACATTAGATAAATTTGGCAAGGGGGAAATTGTGAAGGTCTCACTCAGAAATAGACCACATGTGACTTAATGTCAAGTTTATACTACTGTATAACATATATACTACTGCTGCTTGTTCGAACTTTGTTGGGGAGAGATATTTATATAGGCTCTGCCTGTTTATCAATCCCCTTTCACTGTACCAAGTGGAAATAAATATTGTTTAAAAAGTAAAAAAACAAAACACCCCAGATATATTGACAGTAGTGGGTGACTTCGCCTAGGTGAACACTACCAAGCTGCCTGTTGTTCATTTAAGGATTGACTGTGTATTTTTTTCGGTTCATTGAGGTATGAATCGAAAAGCCGATGTGCAAACTGTATGAATCCGCGTAGCGGATTCTTACAAAAGTTTGCACATCGGCTTTTCGATTCATACCTCAATGAACCGAAAAAAATATACAGTCAATGCTTATAATTAAATTCGACAACGTAAAACATGTTTTATCTACAATAGTTTAACCCAAAACAGTTGCATATATCAAAACAGACAAAAATGACGACATTGATAAACATTCCAGGTGTAGTAATACATACAGTGGCGTGACATGAATCAGGTGATCGTTTAATTTATGCACATAACTTGACACGCCTACACAGTCAGTAGCCAATCAACGGAGAGTGGGATTAAAACAATGTTCATTTGACCTGTCAATTAAGGCAATAGGCCAAAACAACTGCAACAGTCAGACTGTAACGAACCGGAAGAAATATGTCCGAGAGAAGGCGGCAGTTTCAAATAACATGGTCATTTACTGCGTGATTCAAACATTACTTCCCCGATTACGGTAAATCACAGTTGGAGAAATGCTAGTTATAAATGAAACCCGAAGACATGAAAGTTGAACCGGGGCGAGCGGGAAAAAAACAGGCGAGCGAGCTTGCACGTTTGCATTTTCATTCATTCTCGGCCTCCGGTTTCAAAGGGTAGTTTGGACAATGCATATGCACGAAAGTCGCTAAATGTCCTGTGCATGACGATACACGTGAGCAGAAAGGGAATTCCCTCGACTGTAATATTGGGATTCCCCGACATTCCGAAGTAATAAAAGTAGTGCGCCGCGGTGGGCGTGGCTTAATTTTTTACATTCATTGGGAAATGAATGCAATAACACGTGACCAATTCAGCTAATCAGAATGCAGGAATTTCCATGAACACAACGAAAATTTAATTATTTCCCGATGAATGTCAGTATGTCACGTGATTACGTTGTCAATCGCGCAGAGACATACAGAACTACTTTAGGGGAATTCCTCAATGTCTAAAAATAACATAATAAATAATTAGGGAAAACTGAGAGCGAGATCGATTTAGGCTATGAATGATGCAGGCTTTGAAGTCAGACAGATCATGTGTATGTCGGGTCACCGAAATGAAGCGTCCATTCGAAGCTATAACAGAGAATGCTCAACTAACCAAACAAAATCACCGAGCTCCACACTATCGTGCCTCAGTAAATCCAACCGCGCCGCCTCAAGCGGTAATCCCCGTCATCAGCAGCTGTATTATGACTCAAACACACACCAAAAGTTCACAGAATGTTAATATGTATCCATTTTCAGCATGAGCCGGGTCTGGATTTCTTTCCAATTCCACCGCTAACTTTACTGGGTGCAACTTGCATGACATTGCGTTAGCTGCCATTTTCTGCCGTTTGTAAAACCAAGGGATGTCACTCCAAATGGAATGTTTGGGACGGATGACGTCAGGACGTCACGATTCTCCGCGTTGATATAGTTTGCTTTCAATAATTAAAGTTTGATGTTTAATGGATTGTTTTGTTATGATTTATGTATCTGTCAATATACTGTTGCACATCATGGAATTTGCTCACGTGAGGCACTGTCTTCATCAGCTGATGAATGTCAACAAATACAACTTCAATCCTTAAATGTAAACCAAGCAAATGGCTACTTCTATACTACTACTTATGGATTGCAAATCTTCAGTAATACCTCAGTATCCAATAAAATACAAGGTTGACAAACCCAAACACCTCATGATGTGAGTAGACAACACTGAACATCACAAACTCTCTGGAGAATCTCTACTGAAAGTAGAATTATTTTCTCTGAAATGTTGTTTGTGACTCTAAAGGGTACAATGTGTGTTCTCAAAAGTATGACTGCGATAGTCACAATATATATGTGAAATGAAAATGGGTTGACATAAATGTCACAAATCAAATATTGGAACAACTTTAAATATGTCAGAGGTAGGGGTTTTCATTTTCTGTATAAAAGGCAGTGATGTCAGGATATCAGATTACCCAAAGGGCTGAGCCAATGGGACCAGGTTGGGATTCCCTTCTATAATCAAACTGTTAGCTGGAACCAGTTCCAGAAGCCCCAAGAAATCAACACATGACCATGTATTTCCATTCTGATACCATTACCTTCAGCTTGGGGAAACACAAGTTGCCTCTAGGTAACATAATGAAAAACTACTGTAGTTTCCACATAATGACATTACTTGTTAAAGTTATTGTCTGGCCCATTATAAACCAAAATATTTCATTCCTCTTTTAACTTACTGATTATATCAAAGTTGCTAAGATGGCTAAAATCATAAAGGCTTGGTTGAAAGAAGTTCTTGGTGCTTGAAGGGCACACTTACAAATCTTGATGATGTATAGTATAGGTGGACGGTGATACAGCATTTTCTGCAATGCACAAATGTGCATCCAGAACACACAAATGTAGAGATTGGACGCACAATGATATTCATTGTACTTACAAGTTACATTGCTTCAAGAGCAGTAATGGGAGTCTGTCATTCACATCTTCCCGACGCAAGGGAGTTAACTGACTATAAAAGTCTATAGTTCCCACCCTTGCTGAACTTGGCTTCAATGATGGAGTTATATTTTAGCTGGACTAACGAGTCTACGCATAGTCCAATAAAAACTGCATCGACATCCGGTCAGTGAACTGCCATGCAGATTTCAGTCGATTGCAAGATTTGCAGAGCAAGTGTACCATCAACTGGACGCCGACAGACATTTTCCAAATGTGTCCATGCTTTTAATGAAGTTCTTGATTATCTATCAGATTGGACGCTGCCATTTTGAATGAAGCAAAAGCAAGTGATATGAGAGGTGGAATCTGATTGGTAAATAGCAGGACATAGAATGAATATAACTCATAATAGCCACTGGTGGCACTATGATAAAGATGTGAAATGCCAGATTAGTTTGGCAAGGGTGGAAACTGGACTTTTACAGTCAGTTGACTCCCTTGCCTCCATCAATCATGACCACTGTCCACATGATCACTGATTCATTCCAGACCCTAAAGTAATTTTCAAATGTACAGTACACTACACCATTTCATTACTTTACAGGACCCTGGACCCCACTTTTGTAAGTCAAAAAGTGGGGTCGCCCGCATTATCATGAAGTCTGCCGGATGTTTTGTTTGAATTTCCATTTTCCAAAAAAGGTAACATCACACAACCCAGTAAAATGCTGCAAAACTTAAGAACATGATTTCACTGAAATTATTGTAAACAAAAGTTGGTTACATACTAGCTTGAGCAACAACAAACAAACAAACAAATTATTATTGTGACTTGCTACTCACCTAGCAACTTAATTTTCTGTACATTGCCGTAGACATCGAAAAAAGCCCACAGGGGCAGTGTGCGGTCTACATGCATCAAGGTGGCAATCTTGTGGTTGTTTCTGGAGTATCGCACCTCACCTGCAATTAAATTTTCAAATTCAGTACGTATCATATTGACATGCTTTAGAACAGTATACAATGCTTGATCACCTAACCATCCCATTGATCAGCCTTCATCAACTCCATGTTTAACTTGCATAGAGTCTGATCAACCCACATTTCCTGGAATTCTCCAGACAAGATATGTTCCTCTTACCCTTCCTTCATTTGGTGGACAAAATACAAGGCTAAAAAAAAAACATTCTTGGTTCTCAGGCCCTGCCGCATCATCACAAAGTCCGCCACACGTTTTGTTTTTATTTCCATTTTCAAAAAAGAATATCCTTAAACGTTCCACGTCTCGAACACACGACCTCATCTGTGAAATGCTACAATACAATGCGATCCAATATAACGTGCAGTTACTTCCCTTTTCATGCGCACTGCTTTACTGTGCATCTTGTGTGTTATGGTCATGGCGGTAATAGGAGTTTGTGTGCGAGCTCTGCTGTTTGCAAATTTGGTCAATGAAAACATTAAATTTGCGATACAACATCACTAGACATGATGATGGTGTTCAAATACAAATTCAATGGTATTTATGTACTGTATGAGGGACAATGTTTCATACCAGAGGTTATTTGTCTCGTAAAATAAGCGGGAAATCGATGCTAACTTATAATATCCCGCCTATACAGCGAATCGGAATGAAGCACATCACTAGTGCATACAAAACCTCTAACTTGCAATAAAAATGTGTTAAAAATTACATCGTAGCCCTTCAGAGAATTCAGGGAAACGGAACAGATTATATCAATTAAACTTGGTCAATACAAATTTGAAATTTGAGATAAAACATCACTAAATATAATGATGAGCCAATTAAATTGTATTTCCTGTTCTGATTGGCATTGTTTTATATGCAGAGATTAAGATTACTGTGCGTCTTGTCTCGTAAAAAAGCCGGAAGTAGCATTCAGTTGCACACACTTTTCTCGGAATCTACCAGTGATTCGGCCAACAATATAACTTTAAAGAATTTTGATACAATGAGCGTAAGAATTGTATCTGAAACTATTATTTTATCAGGAATAATTTATTCCAATATCATGTGTAGTTGCAGCTTTACTATATATGTGAAATAAATTAATAACCATAAGCATAGAAACTTTGGTTCAGCTGATCGCCATTGCCGGAAATGTTTTCGAATGGAAGAATTTGGCCAATCACCGTCCATGAGCCCGCGATTGCTAAAACTTAATGTTGACATATAATAGTCAAACTACAACAAGTATGACTTTCAGCGATTCAATGTATGGCATTTATGATATATATATATCCATTCTCTATCCACTAAAGTTCGTTTTCAAGGCTTCAATAGCGGTAATATGACCGTGGTTGATGTAAATGACAGTGAGTTGTGCGATCTTCCGATCACTTCACATATTGTTTTGCCGAAATGAACTGAAAAAATATTGAATGAAATGTTGAATAAAATTAATAAAATAGACTACCAACATAAGACCAGATATATTATGAACTCTCTCTACAACCAGACAGTGTAATTACATGATTAATTTGAGTATTTCAGTATGGATTTGTTGACATGGTATTTCCGGTGTTCTGTGCCCACAGTAATGTCTTTGTGTTGCGGAAAATAAATAAATAAAAAGGGCAGCTCACCCACCCGATATTTTCAAAAGCTATTGCCTGAGAACCAAATTATGGATCACTTGGCACAGTCATGCCACTGATGTGTTTGGAGTCATCTGCATGGGTGATAACATGGCTTTGTGTCACTTAATAACATTTGGTTGTGAATAAGTTATTATTGGTCAAAAGACAATTCCAGTAATAGTTACCAAACCAAACAAGTACACCATTCAAGAAATAATACATATTTGTGTCTGGGTATAGAAGACAACATCTATTTTCCACCTAATGCCAGTGCAAACATATGATCATTTTGATCCCAACACATGCAGTTATGGACTTAGTTGGAATTTCCTCCTAGCAAAATTCTTCTTGGTCTGGAAAGCTCAGCTTAATATAGCCGATATTATAACACTAAAATCTACCGAAAATGTTGCTCAGAGCAAAGTTTGGGCATCAGACAGCAATATTGGATATAATAAACCTAACCTGTCAAAGCACTCACATGCGATGTAGTTTTTGTGTAAAATAACTTATTGCAGGTTTACTTTAGGCTGTGAAAATATTGATGAAAGTGGACGTTTATCCTTAAAACAGGGCTTCAGACATGCACTTAATGGAAACCATGTCTCATAGAAACTAAAGTTAGTCAGTTGGTGAATCGTGATCTATATTGCAGTCTGCAATGTTTTAGCTCTATCATGATGGCCTGTGCATGATAGTCTCCATAAGATGAACGAGTGGCCAACAGCATGAGCAACCAAGTGACATCACACACTGTTACCACCATGAGGCACTGGATTCCTGAAGACCTATTCTACTCTGTAATCATCAAGGGCAGTGTGAAAAATAGGATACCCTACTTGCTACAGTTAATGTACATTGTGTCTTGCTGAAGCAATGCACAGAGGCTAAACAGTGTGTTACTTAGAAAATGTTTCAAGTCCTCAAGCTGAGCTGAGACTGAGCATAACAAACAAACTCAACAAGTATTTGTCACAGAGTGACGAAATATCCCCCGCCTGTACACCATAGTACCAAATATGAAGACAATCCAGCGATTAGTTCTTGAGATATTGTGGCAACACCGTTTTCCAACTCCAAAAACAGATTTGCCTGCTGTGACCTTGAAAATGGGGTCAAGGTCACCAAATCTGACAGGTGTATGCGGTGTCTGTATATACACCATAATTCCAAATATGAAGACAATCCAGCGATTAGTTCTTGAGATATCGCGGCAACACCGTTTTCTAAGTCCAAAAGCAGATTTGCCTGCTGTGACCTTGACAATGGGGTCAAGGTCACCAAAACCATCTGGTGTCTGCGGTGTCTGTATATACACCATAGTTCCAAATATGAAGACAATCCAGTGTTTAGTTCTTGAGATATCGCGGCAACACCGTTTTCCAACTCCAAAAGCAGATTTGCCTGCTGTGACCTTTAAAATGGGATCAAGGTCACCAAAACCGACTGGTGTCTGCGGAGTCTGTATATACACCATAGTTCCAAATATGAAGACAATCCAGTGTTTAGTTCTTGAGATATCGCGGCAACACCGTTTTCCAACTCCAAAAGCAGATGTCTGCTGTGACCTTGAAAATGGGATCAAGGTCACCAAAACCGACTGGTGTCTGCGGAGTCTGTATATACACCATAGTTCCAAATATGAAGACAATCCAGTGTTTAGTTCTTGAGATATCGCGGCAACACCGTTTTCCAACTCCAAAAGCAGATATGCCTGCTGTGACCTTGAAAATGGGATCAAGGTCACCAAAACCGACTGGTGTCTGCGGAGTCTGTATATACACCATAGTTCCAAATATGAAGACAATCCAGTGTTTAGTTCTTGAGATATCGCGGCAACAAACAGGTGGGACGTACGGACGGACAGACGGACGTACGGACGGACGGACGGACGTACGGACGGTCGTGAATACTATATCCCCCGCTTCGCGCTTTCGCGCGGCGGGGGATAATTATTCAGTGTAACACATCATGATTCTATCATGACGAATACCCTGGACCCTTTTGAGTGTGTTTGAATGATGCAAACAGTATACAAGAATCCTATACACAAAGAAAATGAGAAAATACTACATACCGTGAGTCCAACGGGATGTACAATTACATCTGTATTAATCATTATAGTAGTTCAAATATAGCATGCACGTTGTCATGGTCATATTTGACATACATTTCACTCATAACAGTCTTGTTTCAAACAAGGAAATCACCTCTACTGATTAGTGCCGCACTTCAGAGAATATATATAATTGTATTCAAGTTTTGTCTGCCTCCGTCTCCAGCCTGTAGATGTCAAGTAGATCTCAGTGATCAACCTGAGACCAACTCTTTCCCAACTAGGAGACCTCAAAATACTCCCCAGGATTCACAAATAAACGGATCCTTGACAACCCCTGTAGTCACTCAAGGGATACATCCAATATCATAGGTTCTTTATCTTTGAGAGGAGGAGCGTAGAATCAAGTGATCAAATCAGTCAGCAAAATCTTGCTAAAACTTTCTTGATATCAACTGCACAGGGCTTTTTGATGTTGTGCTAAAATGGCATATACTGGAAGAAGGAGACAGTGAGGAGATCATCACTGGAACAGTTTAATTCTCACAACTTTTGAAAATGTTTGAAGTGTTTGAGTTCCTTGTGAGGCTGGGCCAGACTTCTCAACAACTCAGCTGCTGTGTGTGTTTCACCTTGCAGTCAAACATACATGAGGAATATTTGGGGTTTGGTAAAACATTTTTGGGGACAGAAATAAAAATAAAAAATTCCTCCATCAAGTATTTTCGAGCTTCAGCTACATACTCCCCATATGAAACAAGTAGGTTGCTACAGAGTGGCTAATTCAAATAACCTGGGACAAAGACACATTTTCCAGTTACAGCTCATTGACAAAACCTGGTATATTTAACTTTTGTAGGTATTTCCTCTCGACAATTGAACTTATTAGTTTTGTAAGAAATACCCTATCATTTTGCATTCTATTTGACATTATTCAATGATTCTGAGCCATGTCATCAAAAGCAAGTAACAGATTAACTTTCCATATGTCAGTAGGTGTTTTGATAAACAACATTTCAAAAACTGAAAGGTGAACTTCAACAAAAGGCAAGTCTAGATAAGGGGACAGTACTGGACGGTAGTCTTTTATAAGGATAACTTGTTCTTATTATGTCTATAGTCTAGGAATTATGATTAAAACTAATAATTATTGCCTTAGAGACTTGTGCAAGTTTTATAAGGATAACTTGTTCTTATTATGTCTATAGTCTAGGAATTGTGATTTAAACTAATAATTATTGCCTTATAGACTTGTGCAAGTCTAGTGTGAGTGAGAGAGACAGGTCACAGAGTACTCTGATGTAGACAAAGCCAGTGGTCTGCCAGTCCAGTCTGATTGACCCAGTCCACCACTGTATGACAACACAGTTGGGAGCATCAGTTGATTAGATCTGACACTGCAACATGTAAGTGTACAGTGCTCAGTCGGTTATACAGATTTATGTGGTTGCCATGGTTACAGGCACATTCCATTTTGCTAGCCTGCCTCTCCCTTCCTTCATAACTACCCATGCTGAATGTCAGAGCTGTTGTAGCAACTTGCAGTTTATAAATAAATACAACCTCAGTAACACACACCATACCAAGGATGTGCCAGCCATCCCTATCTCTTAGTGGCATAGCATTACAAACAGCTCTTGAATAAACAAAGAAGCACATCAGGAGCTGATGCCTTAATCAAACTTTCATAGTAAAAATACATGTCAGCACCATATCTTGAATTGGCTGTATACAGGTATATATAGCACAGTATAATCATAGTGTTACAGAATTGAGTCCCTATACGCAGAATAACCATATCTAGCAAGGTGATGTAACATATGATATGAGGAATGCTTCTCAGAATAAAGAGAGATCTGTTGGAAGGTGAAAATGTTCCAGGAATGCTACAGAGAGGCATTTATCCACGTGGTGCTACTAATGGCACCATGAGATGCATTCACCTCTGACATTTTCTATCTGCACAAAATCTGCACCTGAAGCCTCCATCATGGCATCAGTGTGCAGGGGATGTACAAGTCAGCTTACCTCGGTAAGACTGGTGGAACACTTCATACTCTGAGTCGGAATCTGCACGACGCTCTGGGTTATTGTCATAGGTCTCAATGTGATTGTCAATGTTCTTTCCACAGGATGCAGATCCAAAGTGATTATCAACATCTTTTCCACACCTAGCCGGCTCCATGTAGTGCTCCATGTTACTACCACCTGGCTCCATGCTACCACCCCACATTGCTGACTCCAGAAGGCGCTCAAAGTTGCCATCACACATTGGCGACTCTATGTTGTGCTCTATCTTACCACTGCACATTGGTGACTCCATATTAACACTGCACATTGGCGACTCTATGTCATGCTCTATCTTACCACTGCACATTGGCGACTCTATCTGGTGCTCTATCTTACCACTGCACATTGGCGACTCCATACTACCACTGCACCGAGCTGACTCCATATAACGCTTAATGTTCCCACCACGTATTGGTGATTCCCTGTGACGTTCACTGTTACCACTACAAATAGGAGGTTCCATGTTGTGATCTGTGTTTCCACTTCCCCTTGCACACTCCATGTGGCGCTCTATTTTACCACTGCCTATCAGCGAGCCAATGTCTGCCTTACGACAACAGATTGGTGACTCCATGTGGTGTTCACTGTTACCAGGATAAACTACAGATTCAACACTACGCTCAACATTAGCACCACATAGTGGCGAATCCATGTATTGCTCAATGTTACCGCCACAAACAGCAGATTCAAGATGGCATTCTATGCTGCCACCACGTATTGGCGGGCCCAGGTGGCGCCCTAAATTACCACCACATAGTGACGACTCCATGTGGCGCTCAAAGTTACCACTGGTCCTCGTGGACTCAATATGACGCTGTATGTTTCCACAGATCACTGGTGACTCCATGTGGAGTTCCACATTATCCCCACACATTTCTGGTGACTCCAGGAGATGTTCCATGTTGCCCCTCCCACACATTGGTGACTCCATGAGGTGTTCAATGTTGGCACCACACATAGCTGACTCGATGTGGCGCTGTATGTTTCCACCACATATTGCTGAAGATTCTACATGGCACTGAATGTTGCTTCCACGTATTGCAGCTTCTATATGGCGCTCTATGTTGGCGCCACACAGTGTAGTGGTCACATGGTGATCCATGCAACTATCATATCTGACTGCCTCAACTCGACCATCACCTTTGTTGTCACACATGATGAGACAAGAGCAATACCTCACGCACTAGAATATAATCACAGCCATCACTGCAACTCCAACATGTTATGACGCCTCTTTCAAACCTCTGCCTTATACTTTAGACATGGAGGGCTAGGTAGATCTAGGTACAGAGCTTCCAAAATAGCACAAGACTGAAATAACCTACAAAGGGCAGAGTGAGCGAGAGAGACGGCTACACTGACGGCAGATCTCCAACACTGTCTTATCACCTGGCTCCCCCTACAGGCAAGAAGGCTACTTATCATGTACACATTTCCTGTCATTACGATCCAATTTAGTTCTGGTTTCAGAAAATGATACTATTCACTTTATTATTCTATCCTTGTGTGTGTAAAACTACATAGTACCTTTAAGTACTCGCCCTTGAAAACCCTTGAATTTTAATGCCAATAGAATAAGTGTCTCGCGCCTGAACGGTACACTTAGAAATATTAATGATTAAAGTTTATTATTTGAAACCTCAAACACACAACGAAATGATGAACATGTGAACACAGTGGGTGACTATTGGAAATTGATAGTCAGACTTTGACATTGTTTATGCAGGTCATCTTATCCCAATTGTGTTGACCTATGCTCATAATGTACATCACTGGATTGTCTGATCAACTATTTACAGACTGCCATTATATATAGCTGGAATATTGCTGGAATATTGCTAAGTGAGGCATTAAACAAAAAAACAAAACAAATTTAATGCACACTATGTTTGATGAAATAAATTTGGATAATCAGAAATGAAAATGATATTATCGATCTCAGTGAAAATGAACAAGGCAAACTGCTCAAACTGCAAAAGAAATGCTCATTTTCTAGCCCATATTGAAATGTAATGTATAAATGTATAAATGAAATGTAACCCACTTTGTAAATGAATATTACAAAATATAATTAATAAAATATTATTCATATGCCACACTTAAGTGCCATAGGTAATACTAATGTGTGAAAACCTATATCCCTGTCAGTTCACATCCTGTAGACTGAGCGAGTGTTGTTATAACACCGCAGTCTGCAATATTCAAGCCATATCAGAGCAGCATTTAATTAACCGAGTTTGGACCTGACCAACTGGTGACCACAATGAAGCAATACTACAAGAATAAAACAAGTCACTAAACCTGAGTGAATGTGGAATTAACATGACTAATCAATATTTCCTTACATCAGTCACTCACATTTCACCAGTCTTACCAATAGCTATTTGGATACCAAATCTCATCAACCATTATCAATCCTGTAATGATAATATTTTTATGTAATCCTCAGGTTGCAATTCCTCTGCACCTAGTTCCCTACCTCCACCTGGCCTATCTTCCCCAAAATACCCACCAATTAAGACATTTTCTAACAATCAAAAAGCTATCCAGGTAAACAGTGTAGTGAAGGTTTATACAAGACTCCAGGTGCTGGGGTTGTCTGGCCACGTACACCAGCCCTGATAATGGCTGTTTATAAACACTTAAGGAACTGCTTCCAAAACTATGTGTTTGGCACTTTGGTTCCAATTCGCCTGCCCTAATACATCTACATTTAACTGCACTGGTCTATATATTCGGTCCCCAGTAAGTTTTCCAAGCATAATAGCTGAATGGTTGTGTTGTCTTATAGATGTTTGCACCTGTTCTCATTTACTAGCAGGAACACAGAGTGCAGTGCACAGCCCCGGCTGATAGTCTTGCATTGCTGAGTATACTGGTAGACCTTGTAACAATGATGCATCACATCCCTGCTCACACTCCCCATGCTCTATGGTTCAGATATTTCTGACATATATCTCGCTACCGGTAGTCACTTCTGTGGGGTACTTGTAAGCGTAAAGAAAGCTGATGATGCATATCAAATAATGATTAAACCAGGAACACATAAAGATGTCAGATGCCGGAGTGTAATACGTTACAGGACAATCCATATGTAGCTAATATTTGTCTTATTAACCCATGTTATTATAATAGTACAGCTGTGTTTTCACAAGTCCCGTAGCCAGAACAACATGTTGTATTCACTTTCATAAATATGTTTTAAAAGAATGCTTAGGCCATCCATATTTTTTTTATGTGTTTCTCATCTCCAACCTCAACCAGCAAGGGAGCAGGCGGGCGAAATAAAAAAGTAATTTTGTTTTCACTGATTGTGTTAATTTATGAGATTTTAAAGTTTAAAGCACTAGGTACCAGCCTTTAAATTAAGTTATGATGTGCATTGGAAACAATTTTGTTTCAAGCTATACTGAGTGAGTGAGTGAGTATGGTTTTACGCCGCTTTTAGCAATATTCCAGCAATATCACGGCAGGGGACACCAGAAATGGGCTTCACACATTGTACCCATGTCGGGAATCGAACCCGGGTCTTCGGCGTGACGAGCGAACGCTTTAACCACTAGGCTACCCGACCGCCCCTCAAGCTATACTGAAAAAAGTCAAGCTGACCTGATTTTATTATTAATGTGCAATGGCAGTGGTAGTATTTTATCATATCGGGGCATAGTTGTCCACAGGATGAGGTAAAATTGTGACATGAAAAAACAACTTTTCGCGAAAATGCAGGGCGGTCGGGACATGGGAAACTCAGAAAAAAAAAATATGGTCAACCTTAGGGGGTGTTTTTAGATTAGATATTATATACAGCTACAAAGTTGAAAGACATAACCCATCATTACATCCTTTTCTTTGGTCCCAGTTTTCAGCAGCCTGACAGGCATGTTGATCACTGATTGACACATCCATGCGACTCAGAGTGAACACACCTACCCTGAACTAACATTATTCACAGATTTCTGTAATAATGCTAATCTGTGTCACATTACACAAGCATAGAACAGATGTAAGCATGACAAACAACATAATCATGTGTGTTGATATATGTTAGCAAAACATCATAATTAAAATATGGAACCACCAATGAAGACTCGAGTTAGAATTGGTCTTCAGCAACACATGCTTCTCGTAAGAGGTGACTAACAGGATGGGGTGGTCAGGCTTGCTGACTTGGTTCATGTATGTTATCATATCCCAATTGTGTAGAACAATGCTTATGATGTTAATCATTGGATTGTCTGGTCCAGACTCAATTATTTACAGACCGCTGTCATATAGCTGGAATATTGCTGAGCGTGGCAATAAAACAACTCAGTGACAAATAACCATATATTTCAACTACCGGCAGGTAGTATTCACTGTACCTCACCTTTATGTACAGCATTATTAGATAACTATTTCAACCACAGCTAGTAACACATAAAATCAAATATTTCAAAATATTAAGGACAAATTTGACTTACCTTCATTTGTTAGGAAGAAGCTGAGCTCATCGCCAATGTCCGGTGTCCTGCATACATCCTTGTTGACCACCCAATACTCTGGCCTGTCCAGCAGCAGATCAGAATCATCTGGTAAATCATCTGTAGAAATCCTATTGGGATCACATGCAGTCATTCCGAAAGCAAGTCCACCGACATAGGAGCGGTCAATGCCCAATATCTGGATGACAACTTTCTCCCCACATCGTAAAGGACAGGACGTAAACACATAGCCGTTACAGTACTCATCCCGGAGTCTGCAGGCAATTGTCTTATCTGCTGTCACACGAATATTTTTGCCTCGATTGTCATGAAATGTCATGTGTTGGAAGTCTATATTTGCGTGATATCTGACAACTGGGAGCTGTGACGTCGACTCGTTCACTGAGAATGAAGAAAAGGAGAAGAGTTCTTGCTCCACTGATACAGAAGAGGAAGTGTTGGGTTGTTGTACACGGTTGTTGAGGGCCACAGGCTGATCTGCAACGACACCAAGAATGTATGCCTGAAACAAGGGCCTGTATCGCTCACCTGGATATTTACGTAATCATGACAAAATAAACATTTGCATTGTACATGCATATAATACTGCAAATATTTTGTAGTTTTGACTCTGTCAGCATTTAAAATGGGTGGATGGAAAATCTGACAGCATGAACGTGTATTTCTCTAGATACAAATGTAACATAATGATCTGAATCATTTCCATGTTATGATCCAGGATAAATCATATTAAAGGTATTATTCTCTTCATAACAAACAAATGTATACAATGTTTCTGTTTATTATAGGGTGGGGATAATATCGGTGTGCATGTTATGGTGAAGGTTCTAACTCCTTTGGGAGTGCCGGACAGATGAAAAAAAGGGCCAGTCCTGGTAGCATATGTGCATTCCTCTCATTATACTCTCAATTGTACATATGGTTATATGGTGGGGATCTTAACTGTGTCAAAGTTATAAACTCTTTTTAACCCCGTCCCTTAGTCCCCAGGGTTGGGGGTAGGGTTCAGCCCCTCCATTTGTACAATTTGAATCCCCACCATTGGAGAATGCTTCCAACCATATATGGTTGATATCTATGTCTTACGTCTAGAGAAGAAGTCGTTTAAATCAATAAAGCCAAATCACCCCTATTTGGCCCCGCCCCACAGCCCCTGGGGGGTCTGCCCCACCATTTGTACAATATTGAATCCCCACCACCTAGGAATGCTTCCAGTCAAATTTCGTTAATTCCATATTTGTGGTTCAGAAGAAGAAGTTGTTTGAATAAATTGTTGATGTATGGGCGAATCACAGGAATATTTACCACATTCTACATATTTAAAGTGAGTGAGAGAGTTTAGTTCTATGCCACTTTTAACAGTATCGTCGTCAAATCACAGCAATGGAGACACCACCATCTGATTCATCACCAACCGTCATCACTCAAGCCAGGCCCTCCCTATCGATGGCAGTACACATAATCTTCACACACCTGGCAATCTTTTTTGATAACTCAAGACCTGTCAACCCTCCTGCATTTTGCGGGAGACTCCCGCAATTTGATGAAATCTCCCAGTCTCCCGCATGATGGACTATTTCTCCCGCAAAACAGAATTCTTCATTATTTAAAAAATTCGCCTCCATTGTCCCGTGAGTAAAAGCAATGAATGGGAAGTTTGCGTCCGATCTGTCCTACTACGCTCCCAGATTAGCGACCCTTATCACAGCCACCCGCAGGGGGACCCAGATGGGCCTTTGTCCAGTAATCAACTGGTAATTAAATTGATATGGTGAACGATTGAACAATGTAAACTGTTAAGAAAACTCGGATAGTCCTAACAGGTACCTGAAGGGTTGAACTTGAAATGAAAAATCAGCCAAGTATTCATCACTTCATGAAATGAACTGTTGTCTGCATGTTCTTAGCGTGTTT